CTGGCCTAGGGAACTGATCAAATTTCAAACAAGCATCCGAGACTCGTCACGCGTTACGCACAATACCGGGTAGGCGGATTGGACGCATACCTGGACATATTCTTTCTGGAACTCTTCGCAAGGAAAAACTTATTAGAACTTTCTATAAAAATGCGGCGGTTGGTGGCACGTAACAGAAAACTTGACTCACGTGAAGGGAATTGGTAGGCACATTCATCAAAATATTCAATGGTTAAAGATTGGTTTGGCCGACACGTTTCTCCAATTGCTAAACTATATAAATCCTGTCATAATCAATATTCCCTTTGTAAAGAAATATAAGAGCGTTTAGATCACTATTATTAAAGTTAACCAGAAGTAAAATACATATTTTTTTTGAACCGGGCATTACCCCTTTCCATTACTGCGACATAACGAAAATACATCAAATGTCCAGAGAGGGGGCGGGAAAGGGGAAAGCGAGTTCAAGCATCGCCGGGAAACCCACTGTAAGAGTAAATACATAATGAACATAACAGAAATTATATCAAGGTTCCTGGACCATCGAACACCAAATACCTCCGCTAGAACATGCCTCTCACACATCACTGTATCACTGTTGTTGCTCCCCGACCGGAGCCGGCCTGACCTTATCGACGATAGCCGGGCAGGATTCGTACACATGCCTCTAAGGACCAGCGCCTCAGAGCCGTAGTAGTTGGACCTTTGAATTGATCTAAAGAGCCTGATACCAAATCTCGCCATGGTGCATGCACATCGAGAAATTCTAACCTCCCTGCCACAAGGAGATAATAGAAATCTATGTCGGAGCTTCGTCGACTATGCCCCGATGTACGGGCTAGAGGATGATCAAATCTCGGAAGACCAACTCGAAGATGAAGTGTCACCATCCGCCCGGGCACCGCCCCTGCGATGAATAAAAACCCTAACCTAAAATACTAGCCAGAGCCAAGGCACCGGTATTCCCCTCCCTACCGCGGGCCGTCGAAGCGACATGTGGAGGAGAGGTCATTGTGGCACCCCGACCAGTGTCGGACAGATGCATGCACATGCCGCCCAGGACAAGTCCATGTTCTGGCACACGCCAGATGCGCTCGATACAGAATTCCAAACATGATTTTATTAATAATACAGAGTATACAAAGTAATTGCATATGACTATGGGCGTGTTCTGGGGCCCTCCTGAGCCATGAAATCCATGACTCCATAGCCAGCAGCTAGCTTCTCACCTAAAATCCTGGAGCGAGCTAACCTTTCAGTTCACTAGCTTCTGCTCCAAAGGTCAAATAGAGGTTGTTTTTCACTCTCACCTTGAGAGAAACAGACGGGGTACTCAAGGAGGAAGAGGAGGTCGGGGACAAGCTCGTCGATGCAGCCACCGTGCTCCGGTGGTTGGGGACGGCGGGGTCGATCTCCGACCGGGGACTGCTTAAGAACTCCGGTCGGGACGATGGGGAAGAGCTCTGGTCGTGGATGGAGGGGAAGAGCTCCGATCGAGAGGGAGGCGGAGGAGGGCGAACACGGCGGTGGGAAGGGCGGCCGTCGGTTCCCACGCCGGTTGGGTGCTCGTGGTAGCGCGCTAGGGTTCGTCGCGGGATGGAGGGGAACGAGCGTGCAATGGATCGAGTCGAGGGAGGAGACGAGCACTGCCTCGAAGCGGTACCTACGGTCGCTTCGCGGTGGCAATCAGTTGTAAATTCAGCCAACTCTCGCATCCTAGTGTTTGTGGAGCTCGAGTTTTGCAACTCCTCAACTCCAGCAAATTTGCACGTAGCGAATCGCTAGCTTGTTCGGCTCAACTCCTCAACTCCTCAACTCCCATAGCCATGATTTAGATTGTTCGGCTCGGGTCCTGACCTGGAGTCAAGGAGTCGAGGAGCCGGAGGGCTACCGAACACGCTCTATGGTGTATAATCCCACAATATAACAAAACGGCAGTGGAAGACTACGTCCGGAGATGTTAGTGGCTTGGCTGGGCTTCACAACTCACAGGACTGGCTGGGGCGGCGGTCTAGCTTGCTAATCATCTTCTGAATCTTGCCACGTGCAAGACCAGGTAAGTACTTCGAATGTACTCGCAAGATAGTCAAATACATATCATCCAAACAAACAAGTAACAAAGTAAGAACTAAACTTAAACACAAAATTACTCTACAGTAACAACTAAGCATGGCATTACTATAACAATATCCATCAATACATACACACCAACGTACCTACCACTAGGCTAGAGAGTAACTACACTTACCTTCCGCGGGGACTAACAATACATGAGTTGTTCCATCAATCAATTCATTGCCCCTTTTGGGCGACCACATGATTTACCGAGACTCCTTCTCGTGACCATGTCAGAACAACACTGTGACCTCTTCAGGCCATCAAAATCCAACTTACTATAACAACTACGTAAATAAACAATCCAAGTGCTATCACTACAGTCATTCCCCAAAATCGATCATTATAAATACTAAAGTCAGCATAATCCAAATGATCGTAATCCAATTCATCGCAATCCAAGTGGCCTTATAGTAAAGTCAGCATTCCAATTGGCCATACAACTCGTTGCAAACCAAATCCGAATACTCTTCAAGTTACCAATTATAATTAAGTGAATTATTTCATTAGTGAAACCGTGTGTTAGTTTGTTCTTATCGACGAAGCCAAATAGTGACTTAAACAAGACTTTTCTTAACTGTGGAAGCGGCTATTCGAATAGATTTGACACTCTGCAGAGCTTGTACACTTTTTCCATAACATGGAAAACACATCCAGCAAACCCCTGTCTTATTTTTTAGCCGCTTTACATGTTAGTTTTTTTAGATGAACGTTACATGTTAGTTTGTCCTAAAAGTGGCAACTTCCCAGCTGGTGGCCTGGGTTTGTAACCCGGTTGTGTGATTCTTTCTCTTGGGTGCATTTAGAAACCTCTTCATGAAGAAAGAGAGTTATGGGAGTTTTAGATCCGTTACTGTCCCTGAGTCTATTCTTCTCATTAATTGCAACTTTTGTAAAAGTTTGAGAAAAGAACCATCGTTTCGTAAAGAAGAATCATACTGTCTTATTTAAGTAGAACATCTCCTATATGATGTACAAATTTAATACTCTGTGTTTCCCCTCCATATTTTGTGCGAACTACATAAATAAATACAAAAGGTGTGATAACTACATGTAAGTTTAGGACGTGTCCGCAACAAAGTCTTGTATCACAGTTCGTACCGCAACAGGAATTCTCACTGAGCGGGTACTTCCGTCTGACCATGTCAAGCTCCCAAAAGTGTATCCTCCTTGCACTCTCTGTCTTGTTGTGAATGTCACCATAAATGTCGCGCTTCTACTGTTGCCTTGGGTGAAACTGATCACAGATGGTTCCACCGACACATCTATCCCTGCTGGAGCTTCAACCACTAAATGATATGTTGCTTCTGTTGGCCCAACGTTAGTCACAGTGCGCCGAAGAATGACATGGCCCTTAAGGTCTGGCACAGTGATCGACGGGAGGTTGAGGTTAAGATTGTAGGACTTGCAACCGTCTGATAATCCTTGGGTGCAGTTCAAGAACTTGTTGTACTCCCTTGCATCGAGGTCATAAACCAGGCCAGGGTCAACAGCTCTGTCAGGGTCCATATGGCCACCACCAAAGTCGAAAGGGTCGGCTAGTTTCCTTGGGACTCCGTTTGCTTGGATCGGCATACCAAACCGATCGGTCACAGATGCTGCAACCAATGCCAAGGAAGTTTATTAAGTTAGTTTTATATTGTGATGAGTTGCATATTTTTTGGTATTTCTATGTTCATACCCGTGGTGATGATGGCAGGCTTGATCATGGCAGGTGACCAGTTAGGGTGAACTGACTTGAGCAACGCCGTCACCGCAGAGACATGTGGGCATGCCATGGATGTCCCAGAATGGAACACGTAGGAGTCACACTCCGCTGCCAAGATGCCGACGCCAGGTGCAGCAATGTCGGGCTGTTGAAGCATGTATATTGAAAATTAGGTATTCAAGTCTTGAGTTCAAAACCTAGAGAGGTTAGGAAATCTTTAACTACAAGTCCCAAGCTAAGTAGCTGATAATGATATACCTTGAGTATGCGAGGGAAAGCAAGGCTCGGGCCTCTTGACGAGAATGAGGCGACATATGGTGATAACACCCCATTTCCAACAACGCTTACAGCTGGCGATATCTTCACCACCGGACTCCTAGCATAACACACATGACAACAGACATGAATTTTCCAGTGCATAATTAAGGAGAAGGCACATATACTCTCAAAACAATGTGACAGATTCTTACTCAGTCATTTTTGAGTAGGAGGCGATTCTTGTGCGATCTCGAAATCCACCAGTGCACAAGACATAAATCCCTCGCAGCTGGTCAGGATTTCGAGAAGGTTGACAGTGTATTGTGCGAAGATGAGGCCCTTTGCGCCGGCCTCGATAGTACGATTGATGAGAGAATGAAGTTCTGCCCTGGGTGGCGTGATGGCCGCCTGCGCTGGTGCATAACAGAGGACGGTTTTGCCGGTGACGTTGCTCAATGATAGTGATTCTGTGTCGCAGCTGCGCAAAAGTTTAAAATTTTAACATGGCTGTACAAAGCGCATGACATTTACTATCGATCAAATGTCGTCAAGCGACTGGTTTCTTTCACTACCTCTGCACATGAACAAGGTCTTGAAAGACGCTGTTGTTCATAGCTGCGTTGTAGTTTAGAGATTGCCCCTGCGTTTCAAATCAATCACAGATTAATGAGCAAGTTAATTCAGGAATACATCATGCTTGCTTGATGCTACATTTTAAGTTAATAAAAGTGTCCTTTATCGAAAAAGGAAGGCTTGTGCAGGACATGATATAGTTGGCCGCCCAGAGAAAAAGGAATACAGCTCGCATATATATACTGAAAGAATTATAAGGAAGCTTAAAGGAGGAGCTAAACATTTTATTTTGAGTTTGATCATCTGCTTAGTGTGCGCGCGTATGAAAGCTTATGTTCGTGAGTTTGTGTACGCTAGAGGGCAACAGCAACTTGACCAATCATATTGATCCTACCATATCGGGTTTGGAGTACGTCTATTAATATTTTAAAAAATCACTTGTTTTTTCTATTAATATTTTCGCTGGGATCTTTATTCCTTGAGAATAGGCATGAAGACAACACTTTGCTATAACATTTCTCAGCAGATGACAAAAAATGAAAAATAATGCACACATACATCTAAAATAAAGGAGAGATCGGTACGTACCACGAGCTTTTCTTTGTTTCCCAGCGATATCAAGGTCGGGAAAGACCGGTCAATCGTGCTAGCGGCCACCGTCGTAACCCACGGCAGGGCATTACCCACAGTTTGCAGCACAGGTCCATCGTTCCCTCCACTGAACACAACAGAGATCCCTCTTTGCACAGCATGGAGCGTCCCGGGGAACTGCTGACCAGCCCCTCCAATCGAGAGCGACAAGACGTCCACACCGTCGTGTATGGCATCATCAACAGCCGCAAGGACAGCCGCACCAGAGCAACTCCCGCCCACCCAGCACGCCTTGTAGATACTAAGCCGCGCACGTGGTGCCCCGCCTCGTGCCGTGCCCATGCCCAGTCCTCCATAGCTCACGCCCTGCACTTCCCCGCCGGCGATAGTTGAGGCGACGTGCATGCCATGGCCGTTGTTGTCCCGAGCCGATTTGTAGTCGCCCTTTAGCAACTCAGCGCTGACGCCTCTGCCATACCACCGTGCACCAATGATCTTTTTGTTGCAACTTGTGGCGTTGAACTCCTCGCCAGTCTCGCATTTCCCTTTCCACCGTGCCGGCACAGGGCCATAACCGTTGTCGTCAAAGCTTCGTGATTCAGGCCATATGCCTACAAAGAAGCATGCATATTCATGGGCATGGATTGATTCGGTATTGGGATTCCTCATATTTAGAATTTAACCTTTCTTTGTATCATTTAGTTAAAAAATCAATGCAAAATACGCAGTAGAGTCCTGCTGTATCCCTCAAAAATATATTTAATATTTAAGCTTGAGGGTGGGGTGGCTGTGTGCATCATATGATGGAGAGGCCGCAATTATCCCTTTTCGGAAAAAAAGCTTGAGGGTGGGATTGCGAATCTGTATCAATCACACCCACGATGACATCTTCACCGTACTTTGCTTTTCTGAGTAGTCCCGGCTGTTGTGCTGGTTGGTTATGGTCAAGGCCAGGAAAGTCCCAACTCCGAGTTGTGTGTGTTTCGTGAAAAATGTTAGGCTCCACAGTGGCAACTTCAGGGAATTCTACATTCAAAATATGCTGATTAATTCAAGTTGGTCATGCAAGTAGATACGGCGATAGCTAGGACTGACAATTACTTACTTGCAATTGCCTCAGCCTGAGACTCAGTGAGCATCGCTGCGAAACCAGAAAATCCATGCTTGTAACTGTAAACTATCGACCTCAAGGCTTCATCCTTGCTGTTGCCAAGTAAAATGAGGGTGAGAAAATCACGACTAAATGACTAATGCGTTTACGATGCAACATTAACTCCTCGTTGTTTTTTGCTTTGAACAAATGAATTTGTAGCTAGTTATAGTACCTCCCAAAAACAGAGTTACTAGCACGACACATGACAATGACATGAGTTTCCGGAGAACAAGAAAACCCATTCACTCTGTTTCGGACAACATGACAGGCACTCACCCTTTGTCCGACCTCGAATAGGAGGCAATCTGGTGTGCGATCTCAAAATCCACCACTACACAGAGCATAATGCCCTTACACAAAGGCAGGAAGTCGAGGAGGTTAGTAGTGTACTGTGCAAATATCCCTTGGCGCCAGCCATGATGGTGAGATTGATGGCTATGGGAAGTGCTTGTGGAGGCGGCATACTATTCGCGGCTGCCGGTTGATAGCACAGGATGATTTTACCAGTGACGTTGCTCAATGCCAGTGAAGATTCGGTGTCACAGCTGTGCAGAAGTTTTAATTCAGTATAATTGACAAAATCACCGAAACGTGGTTAAAAAAGTGGACAACTACAAAAAATTCGTCAAGTGATCACAGTTCAAGAACTACAAAAGTTTTATTTCATTACCTCCCGGCATAAACAAGACCTTTAAAGTCAGCGTGCACGTACCACCAGCTTTTATTTGTTTCCGAGCGATATCAAGGTCGGGAAAGACCGGTCAATCGTGCTAGCGGCCACCGTGGTAACCCATGGAAGGGTATTGGACACTGTTTGCGGCACAGGGCCATCATCCATTCCGGCAAACACGACAGAGATCCCTCTTTGCACAGCATGCAGCATACCGGGTAACTCGTGACCAGCCCCTCCAAGCGAGAGTGACAAGATGTCAACACCGTCATATATGGCGTCATCGATAGCCGCGATGACTGCTGCTTCAGGGAAATTCCCACCCAACCAACAAACCTTGTAGATACTGACCCGTGCACGTGGCGACCCGCCGCGTTCCACGCCCATGCCTAGGCCTCCGTAGCTCACGCCCTACACTTCCCCGCTGGCGACGGTCGAGGCGACGTGCGTGCCATAGCCATCAATGTCCCTAGGTGACTTGTAGTTGTTATTTAGCACCTCGTCATTGATCCCGAGACCATACCAGCGCGCACCGATGATCTTTCTGTTGCAACTTGTGGCATTGAAATCCTGACCAGTCTGGCATTTCCTTTTCCACCGTGCCGGCACAGGGCCATACCCATTGTCATCAAAGCTTCGTGATAAAGGGCATATGCCTATAAAGAAGCATGCATATTCATGGGCATGAATTGATTTGGTATTGGGATTCCTCATATTCATGGGCACTACCTGAAGAAGCAGCTGAACCGCCAGCATAACTGGCAATGGAAATTCAATTTCGTCGACAAGATGAACAAGTTTCTACTCTACTGGAGCGCACAGAATAAATGCAACGGCAAATTGGGGAGATGCATCAAGTTCTCTTTTCTCAAGGAATCAGAAATGTGGAAACACCAGGTATTATTCTTGTCACCTTTTTTCCATGAGATGACACTGCTATGTTTCGATTGATGCTTGGGTCAAGAAGACATAGGTTCAAAATGGGGAAAATGGTCCTTAGTTTGAACTAAAAACTATTATTTTTCTTTTGGGCCATCTTTGTATTTTTCTTGTCAGGTTTCATGCTTCATAACTAAACACATACAATGCAGTTTGTAGTGTCATTATAAATAGATGATGCATCAGGCTACTAGAGTATCTAGTTTCTATCAGAAATAGATAAGAATTAAGGGCATGATAAGGTGATACTGAATATGGGTTATAGCAGAAAATAGAATGTTTGGTGCAATGAAGCCGTTGACATTGAATGAGCCTGGTGCCGATGCAGTACCTAGGAACCTTAGTAGCCTTGGTTTTGCCTTCTGAACCTGAGGCCTGTGCTCGACATGATAGTCAAACTGAGGTCCAGGAGCAGGCGGAGGAATCAGAATTGGTCATCTGACAGGAACAAGCTTGCCTTGGTAGAATGCATGCTCAATTGTGTGGGGCCTTGGAGGCGGAATAGGAGCAGTGGCATTAGCAGAGGCTTCAAGCTGCACATTCGTTGCAGGTGCATCATTGGCGTCATTCACATTGTTAACTTGAGGCGCCACATTGGCTTCAGTCATGACAACATCATTGGCTTCAGTGACGATGTTGGTGGCCGCCTCAGTATTCTCAACCTCCACTTGAGGAGCTGGAGG